GTTGATTGACAAATGTGGTGGATGTTCCTGGGTTAGATGGAAATGGAGTATTTGGAAATTTTCTTTTAAAGGTTCGGTAAGCGCAGTTTGTACTAAAGAATGGGTTTGATGAGGAAGTCGGGTTTTGGGAATGTGTATAATTTGAAGAGGGGTTTAGGGTTGATGGGTTGGATGATGTTATAGATCGTGAGAGTTAGTGAATAGTTAGTGTTTGAAGCTGTTGTAATTGTTGTTGCAGTGTTATGAAAATAACAAGCTCGTGTGATATTTGCGGGTGGTCTGGTTCGTTGTTATCGGATGGTTCACTGGTTAGAGGGGAATATATGGGTGTAACATTTGAAATGGGAGAGGGAGGTTAAGGGGGTTCAGTTTTGACTTGGGAATGGGTAGGTTGAAAGGGAGGTTGGGAAAATGTAGATGGATTGGGTTCAGAGTTGGCAAACTCGTCGCGTGGTTTGATATCGCAGTTGTTGAATTGGGAGATAGTGTTATATATTGTTGTGTTGGAATTAGTGTCAGATTCCATGCTGGATGATGTGTTATAATGAGGTGATTGAGGTGGAGGGAAGGCAAAAAGTGGGATGATGGGAACGTTGTTCTGGAGGTTGGCTGGGTGGAAAATTGATCGATGGAGGGATCCAACTTGGCGGCTGAGAACGATAATTTTTGTTCTGAGAACGAAAATTAGTGTATGTGGTTGTTCTATAATTTGTTCGTATAAGTCTTCTGTGTTGGGTTGTTGGGTTATTATGTGTTGAATTGAGCTTTGTGGATAATTGAAAATTCGCGGTACCAATTATAGGGGATGGTTATGATTTAGGTTTTGAAATTGTGGTGCTGTAGGCGTTGTATTCGTTTTATTTTGTGATTCGTCATATGTGTTGGGTGTTGTTGATAGCTTGGTAATGTATTCTTTTAATTGAGCATCTAGAAGTGTTTTGTCTATTGATGTGGAAAATATTCCAAAAAATCCTGCAAAAAGTATGCGTGCTACGCTTGCTTCTTTGTTTACTTGTGTGTGTATTGCGCATGTATTGTAGATTCCTTTTAAGAGAGAGAAAAGAAATCAAAGAAAATTAATTATTGCGTATAATATAGTCAACCTTCCATCTTTCTAAGATGTAGTAGGGCCATCCTAGAAAGGCAAGAAGTTCGTTTTTCAAATTTAAAAAACTAAAAATTTTAATGGTGATATATCTTGTGGTCCGTATTTTTTGCCATTTAAGTAACTGTAATCTTTTATATCTTTAAAATATCCGCTATAGTCTTGTGCGTATATGTCTGAAAAGCCTGCTGTTTCTGCAAGTTTGCGTAGGTTTTGATCTATGGATTGTTGTTGTATAGTGTCTATTTTTGTGAGTAATTCTTGAAATGGTTGTGTTCGTATGTGATGTTGAACGTCGGATTTAGAGTATATACCGATTGATTGTAAATTGATATTGGGTTGCGGGCAATAGCTCTAATGCTTTCTGGTGAAATTTTTTTGAGTGGTTGCATGAGTGTAGGATATGGTGTGAGAAGATAGTATTAATCTTCGTCAGGGTTTAATTGCACAACATTGTGGCTATTCTCTGATTCACATGGGACTGCTGTATCCCAAAAATAAAATCTGCGGGAGAGTGTATCAACAAAAAATAGTTTAATTTTGTAGAATATTGGGATTCTTTTATAGCATCTTTTGTCTTCAAAAACATATAAAGGTGATACTTTTTTGGTACAAGTGTAATACCATAATATATTTCCTTTATAGTCAAAAACATTTGATCTGTTTCCCGACAATAAAAATCCTGCATAAAGGATTTTAAGTACTGCTAGTGCAAGTGATTGTAAAATTTGTGTGCGTTCAAGTTGGCATAATTGATGGAGCGTTTGAAGTTCTGTCAAAGACATTTCTAGAAAAGTTCTACTTATTGTGTAGTCTAATTTCATGCCTAAGTGTATGTCATAATGGATTGCGCCAAAATGAGTGTTGTTTATGAGTGATAGTTCTTGTAAACGTGTACTGTCTTTATCTTGTGGTTTTAATTTTCCACCACTTTTTCCTGTGTTTTTTAGAAATTTTACTGAGACATACGATTTTTTGTCAGTGATTGAGTGAGATGTAGCCATTGGATGTATAATTAATTTTCCTGTATTCATGTCGAAACAGTCTTCGTATTAGACAAGCATTTCTTAATATTGTGTTTTGTAAAGTGGTTTGGTGTATTTACACGCAAGTTCCGTTTCTCGGTATATTTGGAAATGTGTCAATTTATTTCCTATTTTATGAATGTTTCTAAGTCTAAAATTACTATTTCTGATTTGATCAGGGCTTACATCTTCAAACGGGATTGATTCAATAAAATATTTTTGGTTAAACTTTATCTTTCTAGCGTGTATTTTTGCTACTTGAAATGTGGTGCAGGTGTCTTCGGGGAACCAAACAATTGTTGCTTGTGTGCGTGTAGTGTAGGATAGAAATATCCTCGGCCGTTTTTGCAAGGGAGTCTGATTCCTTGATAAGTTTTTGTGTCATCTTTTAAATCACGTGTTAGTTGTACTTTTTCAAGTTGTATTTTCCAATCAAGAAACATTTCTTGGTATCCTTTGTTTTTTGTATCTGCCTTACAATTTGTGGGATTGTTTATTCCAATGTGCGGTATACAATTTTTATGATGGAGATCATTTGTTAAACTTCCATGTGCTCCGTGAAATGGGTATTTGGTATCTAGTCTTATATGACCTTGGTATTTTTCAAGTTCGGCTCGATGTGCTGAATCTGGAAAAATTTGAAAGTTTACTAGTTTTCTATTTTTGCCTTTGTTTGATGTGATTTTTAGTCATTCAAGTTCGTTTTTGCAATTGTCAAGACTGAGGTGCAATAGTCTTTTGATGTTATTTTGGTAGAAAGGTTCATGATCTAATCTGTTTTTGTTTCCGTTTGAGACTTGGGAATAATGTAAATTCTTTTCGGAAAATGTCGCTGTGAATTTATATCCTGTTAGTTTTGTTGCTTCTGCTTTTGAGTAAAGTGTTGCTATTACATTTGTTGTTTCGATTGATTGATATTCGGATTCACCTTGAGTGACTTGATTTATTGCATATTTGTGAAAATTTTTTTGTTCATCTTCTTCACAGTCATAGTGTGTGACTAGTAAATCCTGGGGTCCTGTTCGGGGGGGAAGGATTGTTATGGTCGGATTTTGAAAATAGAAAAATAAAAGAGTCTGAAAAAATAGTATCTTTAAAAGATACATGTGTACAATAGTCCTGAATAGGGATTATAAAAGTTGATATATCCGATTGTCTTTTTTGTGTATCTATCGTATTTGTAGAATATTTCTGTGGTTATCAATGGAGGAGGTAAAGATTGAGCTGTTATATTCGGAGGGGCTAGGGGTAAGGGATGATGAATTATATTATTTAAGATTTCAAATTTTAGTGACAAGTTGTCTTGTGTAAGTATTTGTATATTATGTTCTTGAATATCTTTGTGGATATCTTGTCGACATTGTAATCTGTCCAATGCCCACTTGTGTAATCTGTTACTTTCGTGATGTTGTCCAAATAATGGAGGGGGTGCTAAGAATGTATTCCAAACTAATCGTAGTTGTATGATGTTTGTTGACTTTTCTCTATATCTGGCGTCGAGATTGTGGGAAATTATGGAGGAGATGGTGTTTGTGAAACTTGAGTTATAGAAGGGGTTGAAGGAAGCGAAAGAGTTTCATGTAGTGACAAAGATGTGTCAGATGAAACGTCTATTGGATTATTTACTAAATTTGGCTCGCGTTGGGTGAAAGCTTGTGTCATCCAAAATTGGAGATGTTCTGTAGTGGCTGGGGTATTAAAATGGTTTTCTCTGATTTGCTCAGATGTAGGGGTTGAACCTAATTAATCTGAGGGAATGTTCAATGTGTTTTGTTGTATTGGAGTCTGTGGGGTACTTTGAATTGTACTGCCAAAAAGATCGACAGGATTTGTTGTTGGTGAATGAGGTATGTTGAATTGAACTCAGGGGTTTTGCAAATTTCTATTTCGTCTTGGATGAATAATTTGTCGGTTTATTTCTAGTGTGTTTCGGTTATGACTTTGGTGTCTTGTTCTATTAAGATCTTGTTGGAGAGGGGGGTATACATTACATACTGATTCGTATTGTGGTTCGCTCAGCGATGCTTGGTGATTTACTGGCGCTAAAGGTTCGGACAATCGTGCGTGTCTTTCTTCAAATGTCTATGGATTGTCTTGAAAAGAGATGCGTGTTGATGATTGAGGGTTATTTGTTTGAGGATTTGTTGATGTTGTTGGAGGTTTTTGAGACGTTGTTGGTGGGGACTGATGTGGGGGTTGTTAAAAACTATTTATTCAAGAGGAAATTTTGTGTTTTTTGTAGTTTTTTTTAATGAAAAATATTAAAAGTACTGTTGCTAATGCAAAGGTTAGAATAGCCTTTTTAATACATTTGCATTTTGTCATTATGAGGGATGTCAAAAATGTGAGAAATATTATAAAAAGAAGAAAATCATCTGTTCTACTAAATAGATGTTGGATCATTTAGATAGTTATTTGAAATATCGTACCTGAGTCAATGATTTAACGTGGGTTTGGGCTAGGGAATAAAAAATAATACAAAAGTTGCAATAACTTATCGGGTGAGGATGACTATTTCTAAAATGTCAGATATGAAAATTATACAAGATTTGAAAAAAATGGAAAGAATTGAAAAAAGGTTTGAAAGTATATTATGAAGTTTGTTAACTGTTTGAGAATGAAGCATTCAAAAAAATGATTTCTTCGTCGAATTATTTTTTGTTTTTTTGAGGCTAAATTCAAGTGTGGTCGGATTATTTATTGGTTTTTGAAATGTGGGTTTTTTGATTTCGGCAATTTTTGAGAAAGGAGAGTTTGGAGGGCTCTTAAGAGTCTTCCTGGTTTTATTGTTATTTATGGGATGATTGGGGGTATCGAAGAGATATTCGAACTTAAGGCTAAATGATCATGTCCATTTAGTTCTTTAGGCTATTTAATAAGTTTGCCTGCGGGTTTTTAGGTCTAATTTTTTTAGTTTTTAGTCTAAGACAATTTTGTTGATCTTTGTACTGCTTGATAGGGGAGGGTTGTAATTTTGAAACTTTGTTTATTTCAGGTGTCAATGTTTAGCGGTTTGCTTATTTTTGACCTGGGGGTCTTTTAGTTATAGTTAGAGATTGGTTTGAGGGTGATTGTTTGTCGGCTAAAGAAGTCGTGTTAAAAATGAGGTGATGATTCGGAAAGGCTTCTGATTAGCTAAATTTGAACTAGTTTGATTAAGTGCTTTTCATCACGAATTTTGAGAAAATGTTTGGTTCATGAAAATATTTTCAAGAGGTGAATATGTTAATGAAGATCAGGTGGTTAATGCAATTCAACTTTCTTTAACATTTTAGATTGCGGGATGATTGTTTTGTAATCTTTTCGTGGCTGATTACGAAGTCGCAATGATTGTCTATGTGGAGATTTTCCTTTTTGGTCTTGTGGTGTACATTTTTCTTCTAATTTTTGATTTTTTCTTTCTGTTTGAGGTATTTTTTTGTTGTCTACGTTTTTTGATATTTGCTTGGGAAATCCTTTGTCCTTTTTAACTAATTGTTTTGGGATGGGGTGCATATCAGTGCTTTGACTTTGATTTTGTTCTGAGCTATTTTGAACAATTTTAAGTCCTGTAAAAGAGCATAATTGAGTAAGTTCTCGAAGGGCGTACTCTTTCGGGTATTAAGGTAAAAGATTGTTTCGATGCTGAACGATTTCTTCATTGTTTAAATCTGTAAGTTTGCATGTTATATCAGTGGGTTTATCAATTATTTGATACGGTTCTTTTCGGAGTGGTTGTAATTTTTTAGAAATTCCTTTTTGTGTTGTAAAATTTGGAATTAAAACGTATGTTTCAATTTTTAAATTTGTAGCTTGGATAAATCGGTAATTTTTTTGGGAATTAATGTTTTGTCTTTGTAACAATTGTTTTGTTACTTTCTGGCAAATTTCGTTGTGTTTTTTGTTTTGTCTTTGCTTAAAATCTATTTGGTGTGTGTACCGCAAGCTAATTTTAAAATTTGTGGATAATGAAAGTGATCTTCATCGTGGGTATGGTAAATAATAACATATTGATTCTTTCGTGGGTTGGCAATAACCTTGTGCATTTTTTGAAGAATTTGCTGTGAACAATATCGGTTTCCGTGGTTTTTGGTTGAAAACCATTTCATAGGGTGATAGTCCTAAGGTTTTTGTGATTTGTGAATTATAAGATAGTGGGAATAGTTTTACATCTGTTGACCATTCAGTATATCATGTGTAATTTCCGTTAATGATACATCTAAGGTATTCTTGTAGTAAACGGTTCATGCCTTCGACTAATCCATTAGTCCAAGGTGCGTGAGAAGTACGTGGTTTGTGTTTAATATTATATTAGTGGCATAGTGTAATGATGTCGTTATTTATCAATTCAGTGCCTTTATCTGTGACAAAGAATTCGGGTAAACCGAATTTTGCTATCCAGCGTTCATAAAGTGTTGTATATGCATAATAAGCATTACAATGAGGTACTGGGTTAAGTGCTATGTATTGTGTGAATGCATCTACTATGACCATTATATATGAGTTTCCTTCTGAGGATGGTGACATTGGTCCTTTTGTATCGAAAGAAATTCTGTGATTGAAATTCTTGTTTTTCTGCGATTTGCTTTTGGTTTGGGTATGGTTTGTTTAATTGACATAGAATGGTCTTAAGTATAACTGCATTTTGTATACGTATTTACTTAAAAAATTTAACATTTCAAAAAAATCTTGTGTTTTCTTCTTATTCGAAGGTGTTTAGAGCTTTTGGATTGCATCTACGCGAGATTTTAAAGGAGTTATATTGTTTCTTTCTATAATATGTCCAAGGAATTTTACTCGTGTTAGAAAAAAGTGTGATTTATCTGGAGCTGTTTTCGTATTTTCTTGTAATAATGTCTGATGATATTTTTCTAAGATAATAAACATTTCGTCTTTTGTTTGTGATCGCATAAAAACGTCGTCTGAATATGTGATTGCATTTTTATTGAGTATTAGTGGTCTGAAAATTTTACTCATAAATGCTGAAAATGCTGCTGGTCCTATGGAAAATCCATAGAATAATCTGTTGAAATCGTATTGTTGATTTCCAATAACGAATTGTGTTAATCGTCTTGATTGTTCATCTAGCGGCATTTGATTATATGCGCTATTCATGTCTGCTGTTGTGAAATATTTACCGTTTATTTTTGTGAGAATTACTTGAATTGGTTCGATAGGCCAATTACATTTAGATTCATCAATTAGTGAATTGAGGTATCTTGCATCTAGAACGATTTTTAATGATTCTCCTTTTGCTAAAACGATAACGGGGTTTATGAATGTGTTACTTTATGGCTGTTCTACTATATTTACTGGAGAAATGATTTCATACTGTTATAGTATTTCAAGTAATCGGTTGACTTTGTCTTGCAAGTGAATTGGGACTTAACTTGCTCGTTGTTTTTTGAAAACTGCATCGGGTTTTAGGTGTAAATGTAATGGTGAATTTACTTTTCCAACATCAAATTTTGATGTTGCGTAAACTTTTGGGTATTTTAAAATAGGTCAGCTAATTGTTCGAGTTCTTTTTGTGTTATCTGAGAGTGTTGAAAATTAAACATTGTTAGGAATTTTAATTGTTCTTTCGTGTATTTTGATATTTGAAATGTTGGTTTAAATTAGGTTGTAACTGTGAAATAATCTGTACTTCGTTTTCCATTGCTTAAAATATTGTCAATTGACAACTCTTCGTCAAGAATTGTTGATTGACATATATCTAATAGTTGTAAAATAGTATTTACTTTATACGCTATTTTTTTGTGGGAGAAAATGGTTGCGTTAGTTTCACAATAATCTAAGAGTCCTAGTGGTGCGGTTTTTTTGCATGGAGAATTGTTATAGATGTGTAAAGAAATCATATCGGAGTTTGAGTTTTTCATGTATTTCGTAGATGAAATTGTTATTCTAAAAAGTTTATGATTTGGTTTGGATTCAAGGTCAAGCATAAAGAGATGTTGTTTATTTTGTTCTTTATCATATTGATGAAGTTGTTTGATTGAGAAGTTATACACATTTCCTGAGAGTGGTTTCAGGTGTTTCCGTTCCTGATTGTATATGGGGTAAAATTTAGAGAGGAATGGTGGTTGTTTGTTTATTCTTTGAAAAAATGTCAAAACTGGGTTTTTCATTCTTGTGTATTTATATTTTATATGAATTCTACTATTTAAGATATTTATCGTTGTTATATATTTAGTAATAAATGGTATTCCAATGATTTTATGTTTTATATCAGTGATGTGGAAGGTTTGTTTAAATGGTTTGCTCATGAGTTTGTTTTGCTCCATTGTTCGAGTGGGAAGAAGGAAAAGTTGCATTTTTCCATAATTTGTTAAGGTTGATCCTTGTGCGGTTGCTAGTCTGCTTGTTGTTTTGTAGAATAATAATTTTGGGTGTAGAATTTTTATTTCATTCTAAGTGGGAATGTTGATAATATTTGATTCTGCTCCGGAATCTATTGAAAGATCTATTTCAAGGTCTGGTGTTTGCAATTGTTTGGATTTTGGACTTTCTAAAAGAAGTGAAAATCTCCAAATTTTTTCTTTTTGTAACTGTGGTTCTTTAGGTATGTTTTGATAAGTGTTATTCGTGCTTGAGCATTCTGTGGGTTTTTCTTCTGTTATTTCTTCTTCTACTTTTATTATCTTTTCCTTTGTTGTGTTATTTGATATTGGTCTTGTTTAATAATTTAAAAGGAATTGATTATGGTTTTGATAGATATGAGAATATATCGGTTGTTCGTATATAATAGGTTCATAGTCATTTTCAACATGTATCATATCAATTGAAATTGTGTTTTCTGTCTCACTTTCGCTATCTCTGGATTCGCAACTGATATGATTTAATGGCAATTCTGTGCTTTCATTATTGTCAATACCAGGGGGTCTGGTTGAGTTTCTTCAGTTGGTTGTACTTGATTTATTTGTCTTTGATGTTTAGGTGTACTACTCCTATAAATCTGTTGTGAATTTTTATAACATGTGTTATTCCTATATGGTGACTGAGAGTAGTTTCTTTGTCTATTGTTAAAACTTGAATTTCTATTCTGTGAACTATCGCGTGATCCATTTTGATAATTGTTATATTTTCATCTGTTGTTAAAATAATCGCGTGATCGATTGTTTGAATAGTTTCTATTCCTACCGTTGGAATAATTTCTATATCGATTGTATGAAGAGTTTCTAGATCGATTATTTGAATAATTTCTATGTCTGGCATCAAATTTGAATGGGAACTGGCATCAAACGAAATTTCAAGTTGGTTTGAATTTGAACTTGAATAGTTTTTTCGATATTTACAATTTCGACTATGTGATCGACTATATCTGTTTTGTGAGAAATTTCGGGAATTTTTTTGGTATGGTGATTGTCCTCTATAATTCGTTTTATAGGTGACTGTTGTCTAGAGTAATTGGAGTTATTTGGAAGTGGTTTTCCTGAACTATTATTACTATGATTGTTTTTGTTGGGTAAATTTTGATCTTTCTTCATGTATCGATGAAATGATTTGCTGGGTTCTCTATGTTTTTGTGGTTTGTTTTGGTTATTTTGTTGTTTTTGTCTGCATTCAGCAATGCTGTATCCATATCGTCGACAATAAATACATCATTTTTTGAATGATGGTTTGCCTTTAAAATTTGGGTTTTTATCGTAGATGTTCAGAATTTCAGTGAATTTTTCGGATAAATCTGTATCAGAGTCGTTGATATTGTTTATCTGTGAAGTAGTAGTTTGGATGTTGTTCACATATTGTAACTTAAGGTTTTCCGTTTCTTCTAATTTCATAGTGATTTCTGCTTGCTCTAGCTTATCTACTAATTTTCTAACGTCTAAATCTGGTTTTCGGATTGAGGAAGGATGTGATGCTCTCTTTTATATTGCTATTTTTTGCAATTGAGGTGT